TGGAGATACAAATGTAATTATCATGTGTTTGTTGTTCAGAATGATCGATGCAACGTTGACTTCTTAAGAACCAAATGAGTTTTTTGCAACCGAGATAAGACAGCCAATGGTGTAACGAAACAAATATTTTATCATCGAGAAACGATTTTGCCCCAGAAGCTTTGGTTTATTAAAATATTTTATTCATTCAACGACTATGGTATTGAAGCTTTTCAAATTTATACGTAGTATTGGTGTATTTCTGATGAAGATTGCTGATTGTGTGAAAGAATTTTGCGAAATGAGATATGAATGGAAGGGGAATGCAATAAATGCGTAGCTCTTTTGATGTATCGAAGAAACAATACAGTTTAAACTAATATTTGAAAGATACGTATGATTCGAATGTTTCTTATTTTTCTTTGTTTTCGAATACTTAAACAAAGGAGAATAATAAAGCGACACGTGCCGCGGAAAGGAAGTGCAACGAAGTTTAGTAGAATCCTCATTTTACGCGGAGATTTTTGGTATAAGTGTGTCGTGCGCCAGTTAGGTGATAAGATTACGGAAGAAGATAAGTTACAGAGAGATAAAACGCTGTTTGTACATTGGACCTATAATTAATAGGAGTTTTTAAGCGTCCGTTGGAATCTTGATGAAATTAGAACATTAATCATAGTCATTTATCTTTGTTTCGTTTTGTTTCGAATGTAAATACATAGTGTAATTTTTCTAATTGAGAATTTACGCTTTGCAAAGAGCTTTTCAATGTTAAAGTGTCTCGAACGACGACGAGAAAATGAATCGTTGCGCTTGGTATTTGAAAACTTTAAGAAAAAGAAGGCTTTGGATGTAATTTTGGGGTTATTTATACTTGGCAGGAGCTATTTTCATCGGTCAAATAAAAATAAAACACTAACAATTGTATATCTTAATTACCAAATTGGACGATAGGTTGATAGAATTCTTCGAGTTGTATTGAGAAAGTCGATAAAATTTTGTCACGAGCATATACTATTTGTTTCAGAGTTTCTTGCAATTACGTTATGAAAATTATGCATGTGGGTGTACCGAGTTAAACGTTTCGAATGGCGAGAATTGTCCCGATGTGGTATACAATTGGTAACATACGGACTGCAATATCTTATGACTGCCATACCATTAACGGTACGACGATCATCGTAATATACGTTTAGTTTAGTTTAGCAGACGAGGGGTTGCGAGGCACGGAGAGTCGACCCTTCGGGTGCCACCGGAGGGTGCATAATTTATCGCTTTTCCCCCGACCACCATAATGCAACACGTTACACGCTTGGTATGCATGTAGATTCCGAAGGTTATCGATGCCCCCTCAGTGTCCGAGGGTATAATGGGGCGCCTAACTGCCGATAAATAGCCTAATCATCGATCGGAATTCATTGCCGCGGCTTCTGTCTTAATTCAATATCAATCGCGTATAATTAGAACACCCGATCGAAAAAGAGCTGCTCGTATCTTGAGTGGACGAGGCCTTCGATTGCGCGCAGTTAAAATTTCGATCGGCCAATCGTCGCTTCGGGGGACATTCGCAAAATCGCACAATCACTGGGAATTAAATCAATGTAATTCCTGGTGATCGAACAACAAAACATTCTAATCTACAGTCTCGCGCAGGCCAATTTATATAATCAAAGCACGAGTCTGCTACTATGGACAAAAATGTGAAGTAAAATTAATACAGAAATGGAAACTATGGATAGCAAATATTAATTAAATAAAAGAAAGGAGGGTTGAAAATTCTTCGTTACGGTGAAAGATTAAATTTTTCATTTGTATTAACCGTACTGATTTTTAAAACGGTGTGCAACAAACATAACAACGTTGGAGGAAGATAACGAAAGGCAACGGTGAATATCGAATTATTTTTTAATTTAAATTACGTAGTCTTTACCCACCCCTTTGTTGTAACGTTTAACACGCATATTTCGTTAGTTGAGTGTTACAAATGTAACTCGTTCGAATATTCAGAAAATAAAACTAACTTAGACGTCGAACTGAAAACAACGAGGATAGTATACGAATGAGACGACTTGGCTTAGAATACAATTGGTTTTTATTGTGACTAGATTACAAACGGGGCCTTTCGGCGCTCAATATCGCCCAGTAGGAACGTTTACACGTAGTGAGTGAAACGGCAACGGGAATGAGGACATTCTTTGCGGGCATTTGCAATCACTCACCGCGGGAACTGGGATATGTGATTACGACGAACATTTGTACGACATCGGGATTCATACAAAATAGCGGTCGTTTCTTACGTCTAGCTTACGTCAATATTTGATGTATAGCGTTTAGTATGCATCGACTCTCGAAGTTCATCGTCGTCCCGTTCACCTCTGTTTGATGTCTTTGGTTGTAGCGCGTCGTATCGAGCCGACGACTGTAAAAATTGCGACTCGCGCGCGAGCACGGTACACGTTCAGGTTCAATTTGCCAAACGATCCGATTGATTCGTCGGCGTTCTGTCTATAAATTATCGACGAATAATAATACACATTCGTGGTTAGACGAATCTCGGATATAATAAAATAATAATAACGGTCGAGGGATTATGGGTTGACGGACTTCAAGGGTCCAATCACACGCGCCCTGCAAGGATACCGAATATAGTTTATAATTATTCAATAATGTTAATAATATTTATAACGTACGCCTAGCCGATAAAGTGATTTCTTTCCTCGTACACTGTACAAAGCGCCGAACGCTTGTCGCGACGGCGCCCATTTCGTTTACTTACAGCCTGCAAGGTTTTTGGTATTCTGCTGAATAATGTTATTATTATCATTACAATATAACAATTCCGATAGATATTTACGAATCGCGTAAAATCAGCGTCTACTATACATATATCTACAGAATAGTGAGTACGTGATCCGCGCGGGATCTTTTATTAAAGTCGTAATCAGGACAATCGGCCTATCGAGGACTTCGAGGAGCGAACCCCGTCTCTTGAAGAATTCAGGAACGATTTTTGTTAGAAAATTAGGAACAGTTCGAATGTATATAACATAAAACAAGTACATTTCAAACTTTGAATTTCCTGGAAAAATCTTCGATTTGACTGATACTTCCAAACGCGTCTAAGATATTAATTACTTTTTCTGTCTCGTTTCTAGATTTAAACGGTCGAAATAAATAGATCTAGCGTCCTTCTGTTCGAACAAAATCACGATTTCCCAATAACCGGACACCCGAGACACGTTCTTAGCACGCCAGTTTGTCTGACTACAACTTTAGTCATCCCCCATTTCTCTCTTCCTTCTCTCTCTTCTTATTCGTTTAGTTCGCGATCAAGTCTTTGAAGACCTGCACGCGACGCGGCAGATATCGACGTTGCTCGTGAATTCTGTTTCGAAACGCACGATATTCCGTGTCGGGAAGGAACGTAAACATGGTAAACGTTTAACGAAATAAGGCTCGCGGACCTCTCGACGGTCTCCGAGAAAACCGACGAAAATATTGCACTTCAGCTCGAGTATTTTGTCTAAGACCGTGACGGTATACGTGCTGGAACAAATATAGCGCTCGCGTGAAAACTGCATCGCCATTTGGGCGCGGATCTCGTTAACGCGAGGGGAAGACAACGGATCGGAACGAAAAACCTCTCGAAACTGATCGCGGTCGATCGCTATATTTGCTTCACCAACAATATCTGCGCGTCGTTAATTTCCAAACGAAAGTTCGCCGAACCAAATCCATCAGGAAAACCTAAAATTCTTGCTACGCGAACGTCGTCCATCGTTTACGGAGGAAAGCACGTACCTCGAAACATTAAATATATACGAATATAACCGTTCGATCGTCTGTGTGCATTTACATCGTATGTACAACGCGGTTCTCGTCCGTCCGTTACGCTGGGAAGAACGTCGTTAAATAGTGGTAAATAATTCGACGGACGAACGAGGAACAGCGCAACGGTCCAACCTGTCCGACTAGCGAACGACAGACCTGGGCACTTCTGAAATAATGCTATTTGAAGTATTATTTCAAATAACATGTTATTTTATTTTATAATTATTTGAAATAATTATGAAATTAATATTTGGATGTGCTACTTAGTTATGTTACAAAAGCCTGTTTGAAAGTGACGAAGATGAGAGAAGAAATAATTCCACATTCCTTGTCCAATTGCAAGAGGAAATAAATGCATTGACATTTTTGCAAGATAAAAGGACTGATCTGTCTATGTTAAATGATTATCCGATAATCAAAAACGTTTTTACGAAGTATAACACCCCTCTTCTATCCTCCGCACCAGTGGAACGTTCATTTTCTTTTATAACAATATTAGATGGACCTAAACAAAAATCTCTTACGGATGAACTTTTTGAGGAGAGTTTCGCTCAAAGGAAATTATCGTAATTTTTTCATAAAATAAAATCTTTTTGTTGATTATTTATTTTGATCAATTTGTAACAAAGAAATAACGAAATTACTTATTATTTGAAATTGCTTTATCTCAAATACATCGACATTATTCTTATTTTTAAACAAAGTGTTGAGAATAAGCATTGCATGTACATATGTACTTTTAATGAAAATTTGTATCCATTGGTGCAGTCCCCTAACTTGCAAAGGTCAGTACTACCTGAGGAGGACACTCGTTTATTGCATCCCCTGAGTGTCTTGTTTTTTTCCCCAGCCTCAAGCTCAGCAGAAAACCATCAAGCTAAGAACAGCATTTTCGTTTTGTAAAACTACATTAATTAAATACATACTTAGGTCGAAACTCTGTTGTATTTATTTAGCAAATAAATATTCAACACAAAGGTACTGAAAATAAAGGTCTAAAACAAATTATTTCAAATAACTATTTCTCATTGTTCTTTCAAATGAAATTTGCCCAGGTCTGGCGAACGCTAGAGAACGGAAACCGAATCGGAAACGGAAGAAAGATACTCAACGATCGTTGGTACCTCGGACAGCGGGACCGATCGTCAATCACGAGGGCAACGCCGTCGTCGTGACGACGCGCGTCGCTTTCAGTTCTCGTCCCGCGGCAGAGAGAGTGTCTGCGAGCCGGAAGTGATAGGCGGCGTGGCCCAGCAGTCGAACAGCGACGGCCAATAACCGGTGGCGGTGGTGGCGTGTTGCCAATATCCGGCCAGACCCGCGCCACCCCCGGCGCCGGACCCTGAGCCGCCGATCCCGATCCCGACGCCGACGCCTATGCCCCCGGCCGTCGCGATGACCTGCTCGCCGTTGATGCCATCCGCCTCTATCACGCTTCTGTCGTCCTCCATCTTTTGGTCCGCCGTGGCTCCGTCGTCGTCGTACATGAGGTAAGAGGGGTGGGAGGTGGTCGACGAGGGGCTCGACGACAAGGTCGGCGAGGCGGCGGACCGAGACCTGGGTCACTCTTGCGACCTCAGTTGATTGTCGTTTTGCTGTCCGGAAGAGACGCCGGGCGCGGACCCGACGGGCACCACCTGGCTGCCTCCGCCCAGAGAGTTTCCGGAGTTCGCGGTCACCGTGTGGTGATGGGGGCTAGACGTAGCCCCCGCTTCACCTCAGACTTGAGTCCTCGCGGTTGCGTTCGCGTGGGCCTCTGCACTTCCGGGCGAGTGCGGGTTCGCCTCCCCGGTCGTCGTCAGCGCGTATTGACACGCGCTCAGCCCGCCGACGAATCCCACGGAAGACGCCCTGGAGCTGACCGGGCTTCCGGCCGCGGAGCTGCCGCTGAGGCCGCTGTACCCGCTGCTGTGCTGCCTGGCCTTCAGTCGCAGCGAGGCGATGCTGCTCGAGGTCATCTCCGGGGCCGCCGTCGTTCTATGGTGCGATGTGTACACCGGTGGTCCGTAAGGGTGATGGGGGGCGGCGGGCGTCGCGTAAGGACACGCAGCGCCGGACGCCGCCACCGGTGAACCGGCCACCCCCAGGCCGGATCCCATCCCGGGCAACATGGACGTGGCCGCCTGGCCCACCGACACCGACATCCCACCCATGTGGCTGCCAGCGACGGACGTGGCCGCGGCGTTGAAGCAGTTCACGGGGTTCACCTGCGTGTGATGGTGATGGTGGGACGCCGTGGGCACCACGGAGCCCAGAGTGTTCACCCAGGGGAAGCTCTTGCTGCCCAGGGGCGACGGTACCTTTGCCGCCCAATTGTTGTACGTGCTGTACGAACTGTAGAGCGCGTCGGGGTCGGCGAACGGCTGGCCGATGAAACCGTTCAAACTGGCTGTGCTGAAGCCGGCCTTGAAGTCCGCCGCCGCCGCCGCTGCCACGTTCATCACATTCCGCTCTTTCTTCCGCCATTTCGCTCTTCTGTTCTTGAACCATACCTGCGAACAGAACGAAACGTTTTTGTTAGGTACAACGAATCGTCACGATTCGATGACTGTGGGGTATCATTTAGTGTCTTGGAGAAATAGTGATAGGTAGGGGAGACCGGGGTCAATAGTAACACGAAGAAATAGTTCCAGTAAGCCGAATGAGAAATGGGTGAAAAACTTTTTATCCCAAGTGTAATACTTTTTGAGTTATTGTATTCCAAAGTCAAAGTATTGCTATTGATCCCGGTCTCCTCTATGAGTCAATTGTTATTGTTATTTAATTAACGTGTTTCTTGTCGATTCAAAGAACGCGTTCAACGTCTTTGGAGAATATACGATACGTATCTTTCCGCGAGAGAATCATGTCGCGCATAAAAAAATGAAAGAACGCTGCCGAGTACAACAATTAACAGTAATTATCTTATCTAATCTGGCGAGAAGTCGTTACGAGTCCGTAGAAAAAGCAATAGCACCATATCAAAAAAGATACCCACCTCCGAACCGCGCATACACACAGTTGCTTTTCTTAATCAATCTCGGTCGTAATTTATTGTGAAACGTTTCACGTCTGTCCCAGTATGACTACCTTCTACTTGGAGCTCGCCTAATCGTTCAGACGCGTGATGCTGCCAAAAAATCATACGGCAAGACCTCTCTCCTCTTTTTCTCCATTGTAGCCACATATTGTTTTTATCGTAGCCACATGACCATATATTTACAATTATTTAACGAAGTTTATGCTGTCATTTAGATTTACAAATCTGAAATATTATTCAGACATATATTTAAAAAATTCGTGATACACTAGAATGCGTTGCCATTAGATATTTAGAGACAGTATTTCAATGTAAACTTTTAGGTCTTTTTTGGTAATTTTGTAAAAGTTTGTCCACTCCTGAGGATGTCGAGTAATTCTACTATACATCCAATGCTCATTCCGTGCAGTGAAGCGTCAGGCGGATCAAATTTATTTGGTCCGCAATAATTTGCGAACGAGCTAACAAATGCCCTTCGTACATCGCGATCCCGAGGAAAGGAACGAATCGTGGAGACGTGGATGTCGCGTTACCGTGTTTCGCCAGATTTCGCGGGGACCCGTTTCGCCGGTGGGCATTACTCATGCACGAACAGGGAAGAGAGCAAAGGCGGTTCCGCGCGGTAGACGGCTAGTCCCGAGACAAATGGCAAGAAAACCCCGGCGAGCTCCTCCATCCTGAAATATGATGGCGTTAATTCAAGGCGGCCCTCTCTCGCGTTCGATACCGTACGGTGGAGCGAGGGCGAACCTCGTCAGCCGTTTCCACCCTCTTCCCGTTCCCATTCGCCCTTCAACCTCGACGCCATATCCCTCGTCCCCGTTCGCCCCGTCTCGTTCCTTCGCGTTGCTTTTCCCGTGACGCTCGCCTCGCTCGACCCCCCCTCGACAATTATACGGGTGGTTGCACTTAGATACACGTCGGTCTCGCGTAACTGTAAGGCAACGAGCGGCAGAATATCGCGCGAGGAGGGTTCCAACGGAGAGAGAAAGAGCTGAGCACCGGGAAGGGAAGTTTGACCGAAAAAGAAAGGAAGAAGGACGATATCGAGGGGGCGGCGGAGGCAGTCGGAGGATCCTCCGCAAGATGGATGGGCCCACGATCGCGCCGTGGAGACGCTAAGAGGCGCGACGAGTCATTGAAAGTGGGGAAGAAGACTGGCTAATGAAGAATAATGTCCTTCCTTTTCCGATTAGTGTCGAATCGTGGCGCAGCCGCGGGCTTCTTGACCTTACGCGTCGTTATGATGCGCTTCGGCGACTGGGATTAATGGGTTCGACGATGGACCTTTGCTCCAACCTGACGGAATTACGCTCACACTGAGTGCCACCATTAATTTCTCCGTTTCTAGCAAAACTGAGTTCACTGGCTTAAGGGGTCAGTTTTATGTGAGACTTGAAAAAAATCAATTTTTAAAAGTATATATATTTAAGAATGTACTGTTAAACTTTGAGAGATAAATGTCAAGTATTGTGGATTGTAGAACATTTTTCGTAAAAAATGTAATTTTCTTAAATGGCGTGGACGAAATCTCAAAAACTATACGTTCGATCGATAATTCTCATCTCTTTTATTAAAAAGTTGCGGGAAAACTGACAAAATTTTGCAATTAATTTAATTTAAATTAATTATTTTGGTTCAGGCGATAACAGGAAACAGGATTTAGTCGACTTTGAGGGCGAAATAACAACACGAAAAGTCAATAAATATGATTAAAAATTTATTTTTTTATTCCCAGAGGATAGTTAAATAAACTGCGAAAATGAATTATAGCGTTAGATGTAACATTTACTTTAAAAAAATAAATAAAGATGATTAAATTTCGCAACGTTCACATGAGACTGCCCCCTTAAGTAACACTAATGATAGTAAAATAAAGTACATAAAATACCCATCGATGCAATAAAATATTTACTTTCGTTTATGTCGCTTTTGGGATTGGTCTGAGTAGCGTTTGGCTACAGTTTGGTAAACGGTGCGTCGGAATCGTGGAAGTGACGGCGTTTTCCCCCGCAACGGTAGGAAATCTAAATAGCAAAGAAGACGCGGGAATTCGTGGGGGGGGTGGAAAAAATATTTCTCGTTCGTTCGTATAACCAAACTTTTCCTCGCGAGGAACATCATTGGATTTCACGAAGCAACCCCGTAGACATGACACGGGGCGACGGTAAGCCAAGAGGGGGAGTAAACTCGATAGGGCAGAACGGCAGTACGGCGGGCGAAAGATGCCGTGGCTCGAGAATCAATAAACTCTCGGAAGGCGCGCGCGAGTCGTTGGTATACACACAAGGCCGCGCCCATAAACTTTAACAGCATCGCGAGAGAATCTCTGCTCCGGGCTTGGTCGAGGACGAGAACCCGTGTGGCTCATAAACTTGATGAATGAACTTTTCGATCGCGAACGCCAGGACAGAAGTCAACGGATTAACCGCCGTGCCAGCACTTTTGAGCCGGCTATTGGCACCGTATAGCGGTTATGAGACTTCCTTGTATCTTGAAACACGACTGTAATTACCGTTTACAAGAAGGCCACGGGATACGTAACACAACGATTTTATCGAAACTAACTGGACGGACTACCTGGAGAATATTTTCTTCGATGGTTTACGAGGTGTTAATCACTTCGTTATTCGAGTATAACGTATACAGTGGGGGACTTGCTTTTTATATTTTTACGATCCGATAAATATATAATCGAAATTGCCTGAAGTAACATTTTATTTCATTTGCGATATTTTTAAATGTGTATTTTAATCGAAGATTGCACCTTGGTGCATCCTGCACTACAGGACTAAGAGATGAGCGAAAAGTGAAAAAAGTAACTGCATTATTTCTTAGTAATTTTCTATGTTTTCTCAAAATCGGAACTTCTAGCCCCGGTCTACCTTACATTAAGTTTACAAGTTACATATAGTAATCTTTATGTTGTGAAGGAGGGTTAAGAAACGCAAGTTCTATGAAAGTTTAAATTTTACTTTGAAGAAACAGAGTTAAGGGGTTGGGTATTTGAGGATCATTTGAAGATGGTTGCTGAAAGTACTGGAAACGTTAGTCTGCCGTTCGAATCGAGCCAGCAGACACCATAAATCGAATCCAATGTTTTCCGCTCGACAACCGCTTGAACAATGGCTCCCGTCACGTCATCCAAGCAAGAAAACCTCATCAAATCACGACCCCTCGCCACCGCGTAAGCCTCCGCGCACGGCTCAATCTACGAAAGCTTATATAAATGTAATGAGACCGTGACCGGGCCTACCTCATCAATCAACCCCCACGCCAGCCAGCCTTTACTTCCCCAACTCGTGCACCATCGGTTTCTCTTGGCCTTCTTCCGTGCCACGTATAAACGTTCGGACATTATATACAAAGACACCCCTCCCAAAAACGCTGCCCCATACGAGGTAATCCCATGACTTAACAACGGGCCCCGAACAATCGGATAAGCACGATTCGTTTCATACGGCTGTTTTGTACCAGCACCGTTAGCCTCTTTTTATTGCCCGAGCGTCTCAATTACTGACAAATTTACGAACATCTCGATATTTGATCACGTTTCCGCGACAAGCAGGAAAGCTTCTTTACTACTCATTATTTTGGGATACTTGTCTTGAGAATAAATTTTCTAAAATTCATTTATATATTTTAAAACTGTTAACGCTATTTTAAGAGCAGCTGTACAAAATATAAAATCAAACATCACGATAAAATGGTTTATTATTCTTCAGAAAAAGCCACTAGGGGGTGGTAAAATTGAACGTGTAGTTATATTAATAATTACAATACAAACCGAGGTACGACTGTATAATTGTTTTGTAAACTTCAAATATTAGCTTATATAAATTTCATCGAACGTGTCAATAATCTGCTAAAAAATTCTGCAAAAGCGTCAGGGGCTTTTCGCCCTCCGGGGCACGTGTTACTGAAAGTATACCTCCGGAACGCGATCCCCGGAAATTCACTATACCTCAACGGTTCCAATCGTTTCGCATTTCAATTCTCTCCTTCCTCTATCTCAACGAGCCGTATATTCGACAAAATGCGCCACCAACGGGAGAACCGAATATTTTCATGCTGAAATGCAACCCCCGACTGCTGCACTTACCCGGAAGCAACGATCCTGATCCAATGCTTCCGGAAACATCCTAGACTGCGAACGAGGAATCGTTCGTGTTTACTGTTACGATAAAATAACTATAAACTATACTTTTTCCACAGTCATATTCTCTGTTGTTAATATTTCTTTCACTTTATTCAACATTAAATCTACCACGATCGGTCAAATGACCGTTTTTAAAATTCCGTTTTATTTATATTTATTTTAGCGTCCTTTAATTTCACGACTTTTTTTATAGTATACGCACAATGAATTTTGCAATATTCACTGCTATTCTTATCGTTTGTTTTCTGAGAAAAATTATATAGTCTGTATTGTCCACCATGATTTATATTTTTCTGTAAAAAACTGGACAAATT